TTGACTGATAGTCCAACCCAAGGGCTTTCATGCCATCATGTTACAACTATAGCCATGAAATTAAGAATTGGCCTGTCCAGGCTCTTATGTTCCAACTTTCTGGCTTGGTAAGGGTTCTTCTGACTATCAGATGTTGGTGAGATGCCGTTATTGATGTTGAAACAGTGATATTTTGGGCCTTCCCAAAGTTACATGGTCGAGAGACTAGGGGCAAAGGTACCCCAGGGTACAATCTTCCTCCTGCTCATATAGCCCATTCTATCCTCCTGGCCTAACCTCCTGAGTGCTGGAATAACAGGTATGCTCTACCATGCCCATCTCTTTTCTTTAAAATAACTAGTTGAAAAGGTGTAGCTGTATTCAGTGATAGCTTCCCCAGAATGTACAAGGTCTTAGGTCTCTAACATTACAATAAATAAGCAACTACTTGACAAAGATTGTATATATTCGAGGTATATAGCACTACAATTTCATATAAGCATGTTGTGTAATGATTGCCACAATCAAATTGATACATATATCACTATTCACAGTGTACATTGACATCTCCCACCAGAAATTGCTCATCTTGTCACTTGCAGTTTGTGCCCCATGACAACACCCCCTTTTCCTATTCTATAGCTCTGGTAATCATCCATTTACTTTCTTCTTCTGAGCTCGACATTTTTCATTCTACATAAAAGTGAGCTCATGATATATGCCTTCCTCCTGCACACACAGACTAAGTGAATGCAGGCATCCTTGTCCTGTTCTCAGTCTAAGGAGAGATCTGTCCATCTGTTATTACTAAATATTTTCAGAGCATCATGGTACACAACTGCAATCCAAGAACTCAGAAAGTTGAGCCAGGAAGACCATGAGTTTAAGGCCAGTCTGGGCTACATAGAGGGACACTGTCTGGACAAAAAAAGAGCAAAGCCAAGCAAATAAATAAATAAATAAATAAATAAATAATATGTGGACTGGGGAGGTGGCCTAATTAGTAAAGTGCTTGCTATGCAAGCATGAGGACCTCAGTTCAAATCCAACCACCCATGTAAACAGCTGGACATGGTAGTGCTTGCCAGTATTCCCAGCGCTGGGAATACAGAGACAGGAAGACCCTGGGGCTTGCTGGTCAGTGAGCTCCAGGTTCAGTGAGAGACCCTGTCAGAGAGAGAAAGAGAGAGAGAGAGAGAGGAAGTGGAGAGGAAGAGAGGGGGGAGAGGGGAGAAGAGGGGGGAAGAGGAAGGGGAGGGAGGAGAGAGAGAGGAGAGAGAGAGAGGGAAGAGGAAAATATTTGCCATAGGTTTCTGTGGCAGCTGTGGAAGCCTTTTTATCAGGTCTAGAAAGTTCTATTCCTAGTCCCCCCAACCTTTGTTTTTTCTGGAGCTAGAGAGATGGCTCATCAGTTAAGAGCACTGGCTGCATGCATGCAAAACACTCATTCACATAAAATAAAAATAAATTTTAAAGTTTTTTCCTTTATTTTTAAAGATTTATTATTTATGTGTATATGTGTGTCTGCGTGTGTATATGTGTACATGCATACAGGTACTCATGGAGGCAAGAAGAGGGTGTTAGATCCCTTGAAGACGGAGTTACAGGCAAGTGTGAGCTGCATGATGTGTGTGTGCTGGAACTGAACTTTGGTCCTCTGCAAGGGCAGTATGAATCATCTCTCCAGCCATTTACCCCCTCCCTTAAAAAAATAAATGGATATCAGATTTTTTCAAATGTTTTTCTTTGACCATTAAAATAGACATGAGGTCTGGAGAGATGGCTCAGTGGTTAAGAGCACTGGCTGTTCTTGCAGAAGACCCAAGTTCGAATCCCAATACCGACATGGCAGCTAACAACTGTCTGTAACTTTGTAACTCAGGTTCTAGGGCATCTGACACCTTCGTCTGTCCTCTTCAGGCACTTCATGGCATGAACACACTTATATACACGCAGGCATATACAAATAAAATAGGAGCTGGAGAGATGGCACTGGTATTAGTCACGCACACTGTGACTAATAATCATCCCTAACTCCAGTTTAGGGGAATCTGATGCCCTCCTCTGACCTCCTTGGGCATAGCATGATGGTGCAATTACATCATGCAGGCAATATACTCATACACATAAAGTAAAAATAAAAACATTTTTTAATTTAAAAAAATTTTTAAAAATGAGTTCTTTGTCCTTTATTTACAGTATAGAACAGTTATTTTAATTTTTTTGGTACTAGACCAATTTTGCATTTCTGGGGTCAGTTCCTTTTCATGTATGGTTTACTTGCTAATATTTATTAGTGGGTTTTGTGTCTGTGTTCAGGAGGAATGCTGGTCTGCAGTTTTCTTTTTTCATGTAGCCTTTGAGTTTGGTGTTAAGGCATTCTTGGTCTCTAGACCGTGGTGGGATGGTGTGTGCCTTCTTCCAGTGCTGCTGCCTGGCACCTCTCCATAATTGTATTGCTGGTGTTCTGCATTTAAGCAGCTTCTCAAGACTGTTTGTTTGTCTTTGAGCTTCAATAGTATGGGGTGTATCCAGGCCCCATGGCTTCCTTATTCCCTGAAGTTCTAGCTGGTCTGCACTCACCTCCTATCCCCAGCAAGGGGACCACAGTCCCTGAGTCTTGGCCATAGCTGCTTCTCTATGAGTGCTATGCCCACCCATCTAGGTTTAGTGGGAACAATCCAAGGTACAACTGTTTCTTGGAGTGACAACTTCTCAACTGCTCTATCCTTAAATCCCAAAAGAAAGGAGGTGGGACCAGAAAAATTCTAGAGTTTTATGATCCTCACTCTACTGTATGGGAATTCCATCCTGGGCCAGCTTTGAGGACACTCAGCTACAGGAGTGCTGTGGCTGGCAGTCTGAGACTTAGTCCCACAGGGACTAGAGGACACCACTGGAGTGCAGAGAGCAAGGGTCTTCCTATGCAAGAGACTTCAGCTAGTATGGCCAGAGGGAAGACAGGAGCTTGTGGTCCTATGGTGGGAGGTCTGGTACTAGGGACCCCACCACCAAGAGGAGGTGATGCCATAGCCCCTGGGCCCTAAAGAGTCTATAGTGGGGCGCTAGCTAGGGTGGCCTGGCTGTGTGGTCAGGGTCACACTGGCTCTGAGTCCAGGAGCACTGGCTTGGAGATGGACCCTGGGAGTTACTCCATCCCCACATGGAGCCTGGCTCCAGAGGAGGGTCAGAAGGGGAAGAGAGGGAGGGGGGAAGGGATGAAGAGGACACTTTCTCTGCAGAATACCCACCCTCAGGTCTGCATCCAGGATCTACCTCTAAGAGAAGGCCTAGTAACTTCCAGGTATGCATGAGAATACGTTGTCCTATGGGTTCCCTGAGCCAGTGGAACATCAGATCCTAAAGACCCCCTGGGAAAAAGGAGATGCCAGGCTGTGATGGCTCAAAAGAAAAGGGGAGAGAAGGAGGTAGGACATAGTAGGCATCTGATGGCTGGTGGGAGCAGGGCAGGAGTCAGGTGCCCTGAGGTGTGATTACTCAGGAGCTGGGCTTGGGGTCTCATGGAGGCCTAGGGCTCCTACAGGATCTGAATCATCATGGAGGCAGAGAGGAGCGAGTATAGAGGCTAGGATGAGGGTCTCAGTGTTCAGCTCCCTGCCTAGCATAAGAAGGGGTTTCTGTTTGGGGGTCCTGAGGTGAGGCAGGGCTGCTCAACCCTACCAAGCCATATCCTCACCCTAGGCCCTCAAGGCATCCCCACCAGCTGTCCTTTGACCCTAACCCTAAAGTGCTGAGTCACAGAAGGAAGGAGAGAAGGTTTTGTATGCATACACATACACATACATATATACCACATAACACAAACATGTATACTTCACACATGCATACCTCCCTACCACTATATGTGCAGATATACCTGCCATCCTTCCTGCCTTCATGGTAGGGCCGCTGGTTACCTGAGAGCCCTCCAGAAGTTACTTCTAATACCATGGGTCAAACCTGTAGGGGCACTGTGGCATGGCACTGTGCTATGGTCTTCATTCTATCAGTGCATGTGTACATGTGTGTGCAGGCTCGCATGTATGTCCTTGTGTAGCTTCTGGATGCTTCAGTACTGACAGTCAGTGCCCTGCCACAATGGGACCTGCCTTGGGCATAGGTTACCTTGGCTGCAGGTGGAGAACTTGGCATCAAGATATGGTTCAAATGTACCTTAGGTATGTGACTTGCCTATTCTCCTGCAGGTCGTTTCCTGTGAGGTGAAAGTCAAGAGCTCCCTGACTACCAGGGACCCACTCTAAGTCTCCCTGCCAGGAGCCATGCCTGGATGTCCTGTGGCAGGGCCCTGTGGGCACAGAGGAGGGACCTCAGGATGAGAAGAGCATGGGCCTGTCTCCTGGGGTCTGGTGAGAAAGTGTCCACAATACCAAGATTTTCAGATGAGGATATGGGCCTCCAGAACATGCAGGTGACTAGAGGGAATGTGGGCCTTCATGACACTCACATGACCAGGTGGGATTGTGGGCCTCCATGATACCCAGGTGTCCCCAGGATGGGGGGACACGGGCCTTTATGACACTCAAGTGACCCCAAGATGGGAAAATATGGGCTTCCATGACACCCAGATGATTCTAGGTGGGGACATGGGTCTCAACAACATCTAAGAAGACTCCATGTCAGGTAGAACTTTTCCATACTCACCTGGACAGATAACTCAGGGCGAGGTCTACACTGGTAACAGTAGCCCCAGCTGGAACTGTATACAGAGCCTGCCCTAGGTCCAGTCCATTCAGTCTACATACCTGGCATCAATGAGGATAGGGGGAGTCCTACCCTTCACAGCCACCCCACAGCTGCCTGGATCTGGTCACTTTCCCCAGCGTCTTTCTTTGCTTCTTTTCTCTCTTGGTACTTTGTCTCATAAGGTCTGAGGCTCAGAGAGCTGAATACCTGTTGGGTCACCAGCCAGGAAGGAGAAGGGCAGGCACAGCCTTAACTAGTGCAGATGACACTGTCAGTACTGAAGCATCCAGAAGCCACACAAGGACATACATGTGAGCATGCAGAGCTCAAGGTGAGGCCCAGGTCTCTGCTAGAGAGCTCTATCTTCTCCCAATCTGGCCAGGAGTTTGATGGCTTGTCCATTTGTGGATAGATGGATGTCATCACTCCTCCTGACTGTAATCCCAATATCCACAGTGGCCCTTATCCCCTAGAACTACCCATAGGTTGAGAGGAAATCCTGAGTGAGCCTTAGAGTGACCTCTCTCTGGGGTCCTCCAACCACAGGCCACTAGCCAGCATATTCCACACCTGTGACTCACTCTTCCCGGTTCCTGTTAAGACCAAAGGCAAATATGGGGTTCCTGAGCGGGAAACAGAGAAGTAAGTGCCCAGAAAGCAAGTTTGGGTTATTTCTGGGCCCTTCTGGGACCTAGGGGTGCCTTGGTGAATGGAGAGGGAACTTTCAGCAGCTTCTAGGAGGAGGTGGTGGTGATACTCAAGCCCCACAGGAATCCCTCAGTGGATCTCTTCCCAGAAGCAGGCATCAGGGGCCCTTGGCCACCTCCATGACTCAACTCCCACTGCAGCCTCCAATGGGCTCAGTTTTAGATCCACATAGTATCTTACTTCACTTGCCTTTGAGGACCCTGACCAGGGAAGGCTCTGATCTTCCCAGGCCCCATGCCTGTCCTAGTGTCTTAGAGATGCCAGGGGCACAAGGCCAGGTACTTGTTTCAGGCCTTCTAGGGCAATCAGTGCAATAAGTAGGCTTGGAATGGCTTTCCAGGGCCAGCAGTTGCCTGGAGACTGTCTTCTGCAGTGGGGTTGGCCATATTTGCCTCTCCCCACCAGTGTGTGAACCTGACCTACTTGTGCTGGCAGGACCTGGGGCTTCAGGGTTGTGGAACCTCTGAAGAAAGACGACTATCTGGGGTCATTCTCCCTGTGCCCAAACAGAAGCTTGCAGCTGCTGAGGAAAAGCTTCCAGGTCAGAGTGGGATCAAGGCCATAGCATGGGATCCACTTAGGCCAGTGGGGAGGATCCTGTGAGGGAAACAGCCATACCTACTTCTGCTTATCCCCAAATGTCAAGGCCTGGATGGAGACTGAGGACATCCTGAGCCATTTTCGGAGCCCCTATCAGGGTCCAGAACTGGATCTTGACAGCCTATACCACCCCATGTCTGAGGAGATCCAAGACAAGGAAGAGCCCAAGTTTGGGGCAATACTTTATCATCAGGCACTCCAGGGACCAGAGGAGGATCTTGACCACATCTCTCACCCTATGTAGGACTCCAGTGGGCCCTAACATCTCTCCCACTCCTGTCCTGAGGCCCAGGACCCTAACCCTCCCCAGCTAGAAAAAATAAACACCTTCAAACAGGTGGAAATCATGAATGTCTTTAAGATCGTGATCTTGGGGCATAGCATCTCCACCTAGGAGGAAGAGCTATGTCTGTACTACCTATGGCTCATCAAAAGCCTCCCAGGGCTGGGGGTGGGGGGCTGGAAAGATGGCTCAGCTGTTAATAGCACTTGCTGGCTCCTACAGGTGACCCAGCTTTGATCTCAACCCTCATACCCACATGGCAGCTCACAACCATCTATAATTACAGTTCCAAGGGGATCTGACACTCTCTACTGAGTCCATGGGCACTGCACTCATGTGATAGACTTAAAATATACATGTAGGCAAAAAGTTCATATACATAAAAAGAAAATATTTTAGGACAAAACACTTTCAGAATTAAAAAAAGCTCCCCAGGCGTACAAGGCCCAGTTAACCCTCAGCTCCTGAACAGTCCCCTTCCTCAGCCCATTCCTTTGTATGAAGGGATGGAGTGACAGGTGTGTCAGCAGTCACTGTGGGGACCAGATAGCAGCACCAGCCTCAGTAGAGAAATGGAACCTACCCTGGGATTCCCACAGAAGAGGTTGAGAAAGGATATGTTTGAAGAAGGGGTGGGAAAGATTTGTGCTCAGATAGATGGGTACATAGGTACATAGGTTTGTGGTTGCATTCATGTATACACACACACATGTACAGGTGCATATCACACAGATGTGTAAGTGGGTATGTGTGCACAGGTGTGTAGTTACACAAGCACATAGGTACAGTGTTGCATAGGTACAGTTTCATGTGTACACTGATATACAGGTATGTGACTACACAGGGGCCTGCATGTATGCAGAGCTGAGTGAGGCAGGGCATATAATTTCTGTCCTATTTCTGGGCAGCACCTGGCTTGTTCTGGGGTGCCTCTCCTTCCACAAGGCCTGACTCAACAGGCCCAAGGTCTAAGCACAGGTCAGATGAGTTAGCTCATACATAGTATAGGTACTGAGGTACCTGGGAATCCCAACATTACAATGAGAAGACACTAGGGACCAAACCCTCTGGACAGAGCCACACAAATTTCCCAGCTCCAGTGGCTCAGGCAGAACAGACTATTGAAAGACCTGAGTATACCTTGTTTGGAGGGGAACCTTGTTTCCATGATGGATGGTGCTACTAACTGGCTGCAGTCTTGGACCCTGGGACTTGTGTCTTTACAACAAGCCGTTTATTACAAAATTAGAGGATTTTTGTACATTAAAAGGAACTGGCAGTCACATATAAAGATTTAGGGCACAAAGTAACAGGACATATAGCCTTTTAGAGGTACCAGCAGGATGCTTAAACTTTTACTCAAGGTTACCAATGCCTGTCTGGTAATTTATTGGCCACAATGTTTTCTTTCTTAGGGCTAAAAGCATGGTAAACTTTTAGCTTCTAGCTCAGGAGTAAACATTTAACCTGGCTTAATCTCTTAGCTAATGATGGCTGAGTTGTTTGTTCAGGACAGAGAGATGAGCTGTTGACCAAGACACTTTCCCACAGAGGAAGGAGCCTGCACTTTTGACCTGTCTGCTTTCCTCCTGCTAGTCTCGCAGTGTTCCGCAAGACAGGGATATTGGAGGTACTGTTTCCAGGGCCCCTCCCTTCAGCAGAGAATGCAGCCTGCACTTAAAAGTTTTAGGCTCATCTCGCCCTAGAGCATGCCTGGTTTTCTACAACAGACCACATGGGAGAGAACACCAGTTCTCCATCCTGATGTACCCAGACCCCATGCAGCTTTTGAATTGTCCAGCTGACGTCACAAACCCTAGAGCTCTCTGTGTGTCTAATGTCTCCACTCGTCCAAGGACATGAGCTGAAGGTGAGAAGGCTTGTACACCCTGGCCTCTAACCCACACAAATCAGGAGCCAGTGTTCCATCTTACAGATAAGTCTGGGGTCTTTATATCACATGAGTCCATTGCTCCCACACTGTAGATGAGTCCAATGTCCCACACATTATAGATTAATCTAGTGTCCCTATATTACAGTTCGGTTTTCTACTTTACATGAGTCCAGAGTCCTCACATTATGGATAAACTGGCTGAGGCGCTGACGGTGACCTCGAGGTCCAGCTCTCACCCCAGGATCCCTTGCTTGTCATCAGGCTAAAATTCTGAATCAACAGGTCATGCTCCTGGCTCATACCCAGCAAAGCAACCTCTGCAGAGACTCAAGAATCTTTTTCAGTTCTCAGGTGGCCCTGAATCCTAGGCTCACCTTTCCTCCTTTGTTACTTCTGGTCTCTAGCCTAGTGCTGGGGACCTTCAGGGCAGGTCTTCTCCTCTTATATAATAATCCTCTCTGGAGGCCTTTACAGATGCACCCAGAGGTGCTTTACTAATTTCCTAGGCAAGTTTCTGTAAAATTGAAACCACAAAGGACAAGTCGAGCCCTCGAGTTGCAAAAGCAAGAGGCTTTTATTTTACACAGGTACCTGTGGGCACAACTCCTGACAAAGGGAGAAGCGCGCCCCAGGTCTGGGGTTTGGGGTCTTTATAGGAGCAGAAGCAGTTTACAGAAGCAGAAGCGTGGTTATTGGTTAGTTTAAACTATTACAAAATGCTATAGGGAGAGCGGGGGGGCTTACTTATCATTAAGCCAGATGTTTCAACCATAAAACTTACTTATCAGTGAGTTGGAGATGTCTCAGCCATGAAACTCACTAATTAGAGAGTTGGCCATGAAGCTTACTTATCGGCAAGTTGGAATTCTTGACCAGCACATGACCTGCCTGAGACGTGACTTGTCTGAGAGGCTTCATGGCTCCTGACTTTTATATTTTTCATTTCAATCCTATGAAGTTGACAATTGAAATTATTATCACACCTTTCCAGGTCATTCCTCTATCAGGTTAGGGATGGTCAGGGACCACTAGAGTAATTCAGGTACAGGTAGTCAGGTTAGTGTCCAGTGGGCCTTGAGGTCAGATCCATGGTCAAGATTTGAGCTGCCCAATGCCAACATACCTTTTCCATCTTCCCCTACATTTAGGCAGGGGACCTGCAGATGGCGAGGCTCCAAGACCCTGGTGTTTATCGGGACCAAAGGCATTCACTGGGTCAGGGTAGTGACTGTGGCTAGGTCTCTCTTCAGCTTTGCCTGAGCCAGGAAACCAGGGTGGGAATTTCCTCCAACTTCTAAAGGGTACAAGCAAGTCTGGCTAGGAAAGGCAGAGTGAGTCAGGGAACTCAGGTATGTCCATTGAGTTGAAGGCCAGAATTAGTAGAATACAATCTGGAATTCTTTAAGTTACACATGCACCTGTGCATGATCCAGCCCTTTTCCTTCTAAGAATGCATCCAATAGCATTATGTGTGTCTACACAGTCTAGTAAGTGAATGTTCACAGCAGCTTTGTCTGTAAGCAACTGAGAATCCAACAAGAGAGTGGACAGTCCCTATATTGGAATATCATTTGGAATAGAACAGAACAAATTACTGTTGCATGCAACAGGCATGAATTCCATAAAGATTAGGCTGAGTAAAAGGAAGTCAAATGACAGCACCCTTGGATTCCATTGTATAAAATCCGGAAGGTGGAAAGGACCCATAATAGCAGATGGCAGACTCCTGGCTTGGGTGTGGCCTGGCTCACCAGTGTACAGATGAATCCAAGTGTGTCAATATGCACATATTTGTTTGAGATAGGGTTTTATTATATAGCTTAATTTTTCTGGGAACTCACCAAATTACTAAAGAAATTAAAAAAATTTTTTTTTTGTTGAGGGGCTGAGGATTAAACTAAATGCTTTGCATGTGCCAGGCAGGAACTAGCTGCATGTTCTGCTCAACTTATACTTTCAGCATATGCAGTTTATTATGTGCCAAATCTCAACACAGCTGTTGAAAGGCTCTCCTGTGGCCAGCTGTGGCCATGGGGTTAGCAGTGGGCTGCAGGCCAGTGAGAGACCTTGTGGCTAAGGCTGACACCCTATGTGGTGGTTTGAATGAGGAATGTCCCGCATAAGTTCCAAGTATTTGAAAACTTGGCAAAAACGACAGCACCTGTTGGTGGTTTCAGAGGTTTAGGAGCTGCAGGCTTGCTGGAAGAAACATGTTACTGGGGTGGGCTTTGAGAGTTCATAGCCTTGCCCACTTCCAGTTTCACTCTTTCTGCTTTCTGTGAGTTCTTAAAGATGTAAGTGCTCAGTTTTCTGCTCTGGCCACCTCTGCTGCCATTTCTTCCTACCATGATGGACTCTTATCCCTCTGGAACTATAAGCCAAATTCTCTTCCTTCTATAAGTTGGCCATGGTGTTTTATAGCATAGGAAGTCATAGGGACCAGAGCAGAGGAGCCCCCAGTATCCTTGTGGTCCTGGAGTGCTGGCTATGCCCAGCCCCAGGGTAAGACTCTTGTATCTACATGGCTAAAAAAAGTCTGGGAGAAGGTTGTGGGGAAAGGCCCCCAGATCTGGACAGTGGCTGGAGACTCAGTCTAAGCATATACTAAAACAGCTGTCCCTGGCTCTCCCAGGTCCCTCCTGGATCTTGCTGCTGCTCTGTCTGCCCTGGGCACCAATTGATCTCATGTCTTTTACCTTCTGGGATGACTAAGCCAGGTTACATTTGAGTTCTTGGGCTTAACATAGCTTTTCACAAATACATTTTGGATGCCATCCTACCAAATATAGGCCTGGAGTCCAACCTAGACTCAGGCTTCTCTGGCCCTATACCAAGAAGTTCAGTACCATCCTCTCTGGCAACTGGTGCTATCATCTCTGAGTGTCAGTGTCCCTCCTTCTAAAACGTCTAGGCCAGCCTCTACTACCTGTGAAAAGTGTCCCTCCTCAAACAGATCGTATCTGCCTGCATACCAAGCAGTGCTGTTGGAAACTGAGGGAAAAGGACAAGGCCAAAAGGATGAGATAGGAAGATCAGTGCCCTCGTCAAGAGTTACCTTGTGTTCTCAGCCCAAATGGTATTGCAGAAGCTCCCACTTCACTCAAGCATCCAGTGTACTCACCTCCAGCTCCCTGCTGTCCACTCAGCATCAGCCCCAAGCCCAGTCCTTTGCTCAAGCCCAGGCCCTATCCCCATTCCCAATCCAGCTCCCAGGTTCCTACCCAGGTCCAGCCCCGACCCTGGCCCTGGGAGATTCCTAGTCTTCCATGCTTCATTTCCTATGTGGATTTCCTATCCTAGGATTCATCAAGGATGGGTATAGGGATGCTTATCTGAGAGCCAGTGGCCTTCCTGGAGCTCATCATGAGACAAGTCTCTGAGTGGGAACAGAGAGTTAAGACCAAAGATTGACAGTGACTGTTTTTTTTCCACCATTATTACAAATTGGGGAGGGGGAATCCCTGCTGGGGTCAGCAGGATCTCCCCATCTGCCAACTTATTGAGCCCCAGGCTAGGGTCCAGGTCTGGTGTTGCTGAGGAGAGGCCTGCTGATGGAGTTCAGATGTAGATGATCCTTCTCAGCCCAGAGTGGTCTCTACAGGGGACCAAGGTCAAGAGTCCCCTTCTGGAGGATGATGTTTCCATAAAGCGCTGATTCCCTGCAGCAGGAAAGTCAGAGTGTTGAGACTCTAACTTTGCCCCGACCCCTGGGACAGAACAGACCCCTTCTGCTTCTGCTGACTGACCCCTGGGACAGAGCAGACCCCTTCTGCTTCTGCTTCTGTCCCTCCTGCTTGACAAAGTTCTTTGGCAAACAGAGATCCTACTGCCCAAATCCCTCCTGCTCTTCCTGGGCAAAGCAATGGTGGGGGTAGTTCCCAGGGATCTGTGTAGGGGTTGCCCAAACCACTTGGATGCAGCAGTAACCCACCCGGTTGCAACAACAGCAAAAGCCTTTTTTGCTCGTTCATAAAATTCAAACCTCTCTATCTTCGCCAGGGCTTTCTGGAAGACAAAATTGCATGGTTGGAGAGACCTTGCCCAAAAGTCCTCTGGATGAACCCCTGTTGAGTCCCTAGTTAGGAGGTAGCCAGGAAGCAGCAGCCCTGGAGCCATGGTTGCCTAGGCTCTATTCCTCTGGTTCCCCTGATGCTGGGGTCTCAGGGATTCCAGCCTGACTCCAGTTCAGGACAGTGGGGACAAGGTGTGTTTTTCATGTCCCTTTCGGTGCCTGTGATGGCAAGGTGCCTGCTGGACTCAGTGTCTTGCTTGGGATCACTTAGTCAGCTCAGTAAACCCTTGAGGCCCTCTGAGCTGTCCTGGTGGTCCCTTGCCCAGGACAGAAGCCCTCAATTAGGTCCTGCCCAGGAACTGCCAATGGCTCCTTCAGGAGAATGGGTGTGTCCCTTGCCAGGCAGAGAAGGGCAATACACAGAACATAGCAAGAATGAGGTGGTAAAGAGCAAGACCTAGGGTAAGGGTGCATACCCATGGGTGGTCAGAGGGAGCGATCCTCTGGCTCAACTAGTACCAATTCCCAACATAGGCAGACAGGTCAGGATCTTGGAGGGAAAGGAGAAACTCTGGGGCAGAGAGAGCAGTAGCCACAGGGCTCAGTGCACCTCTTTGATTCCCACTCCAATGATTCACTCTTCTTGAGTCTCCAGGAGACAGAGGGTCCCTGGCTCCTTCCCATGGTTGGGGCTGCATCTCACCTTGCAGCCAGCTTTGAACAGAAGGGATTCATAAGAATTCCATACCGGGGTCTGCAGACCCCTCTCCTTGTCACTGGGCACCAGCTCCATGACAGTATCCTGGGGAGACAGGGGTCAACTCTGCAACCCTAGGTATCCAGGGCTACCCCGAGGGAGGGGGCTCTTTGGGGACTTGTAACCATGTGAAGTCTGACAAGGAGGGAACTACTGAGACCCAGAGCAGCAGCATGGCCTTTGGTCCTCCTCCGCTGTCCACATAGGTGTCTAGGGGCAACAGCTTCAGCACAGCCTCCAGGAGTTGTGGTATGTCCAGGCCTAGGAGGGCAGAGTGGGGCTCAGGCCTCTGCTCTCCCCCAAGGCCTGTCACACCACCTGCCTAAAACTTTCAGGTGTGGGCCTCACAGTTAGCAGCCACCAAGTACAAATGGGGGCCCAGGAAAGAGGCCACAGAACCAGGACCATTGCCACCCTAACCCTGTGGTACTGTAAGAGTGAAACCACTGAGGACAAGTCAGCCTTCGGGTTGCAACAGCAAGAGGTTTATTTAGTACACAGGTACCTGTGGGCACAAAGTCTCCTCAGAGGACTTGCGCACCCCCATGCTGGGTTTTGGCACTTTTATAGAGCAGAAACGGGGTACAGAAGCAGAAGCATGGTTATTGGCCCATTCAAACGAGTATAAAGCATGAGGAAGTTAAGTTGCTAAATTCTGGGTGGGTGACTTATGGTACAGATGTTATTTCCTGATTTCCTGGTATCGAGCCCCGGGGATTGCCAGATGCAGATGGCTTGACCACTACGTCCTGTTTTTCTGATAAGCTAGTTTCTCAATGCTTGACCTCTTGTCAGGCATTCCTATCAGGTGGCCTCATGGCACCTAGGTTTTTCAC